ATCCTTTTTCTAGCAAAAAAATCGTCATATCCTCGCCTTAGCTGACCTGCTAGTGCACTGGCCTAGTAGTGTGCTCTTTCGTTCCTTCGTTTTGTTCTGTATTTTCTGTGTGTTTTCATATTTGGAAATATTCTAATTTTTTTCAAACACCATGTTCTTAATTTTTTTTAAAGTTCACTGCACATTAAAATAATGTTAATGCCTGTAAAAGAATTGTTTGTGCAACTTATAAAAAAGTTCCTGGCATTAAGAAATGCTTGCATGTTTAAATTTTGTTTATGGTGTTTTTAAAAATTATCATGACAATATAAATATTGTTTCCATAATTTTAAAAAATGTTCATACCATTCAAAATACTGTTCATGGTAGGAAAAATGTTCATACATTTTAATAATATGTTTCGTGACATTTAAATTTTTTTATGAAAACTAATTTGTTCGTGCAATTTCAAAAAAATGCTCGTAACTCATTAAAAATGTTCTAACATTAAAAAATGTTTGCATGTTTAAACAAATTTCATGAAATTTGTGAAAAATGTTCAAATTATGCTTAAATTGTTTTGCCAGGTATTTTTAATAATTTATCAATGTGTATGTAAGAAGTGTTGGATCTGTATATAGAAAATGTTCAATGTGAACTCAAAAAATGTCGACAAATATTCTTGGAAAATGAAAAATGAAAAAAATAGGAAAAAATAAAAGGAAATGAAAAACCTATGAAAACTGATAGAGACAAACACACAAAAAAAAACCTGCATTGAGTCGTCCCAAAATCATGCAGAAGGTTCCTCGAACATTTCCTTAGAAGCTTTCCAAAACTGCTTATTGGGCCGACTCACTTCAATGTTTCAGGGCGCTCTCCTATAGGCGAGGCTATCATAACACGGTTCTTCAAAACAACCCAACTGTCTGGACCGCACGGTCCAAAAGTTTAACGCCATCCCACGCCGTGTACCAAACCCGCCCGGACGTCCAAAATCCCACAACTACCCCTAAACTTATGGGAGGTTTGGGGGAGTATGGAACACCATGGATACGTCGATTCAGCATCAGACCCACCAGAAACCCACCTTCTCTCCTCCTTCATTCTCTCTCATCTTTTCATTTGATAAAGAGCGAACATTTGCTGGATATGGTTGGATGACCGGCTTCCATACCTCAGTCCACGGACACGTTTGGATGCGTTTATGGACTTGATGATATCCGTTTGGTGAACCTCGTTGGAGTTGCCCTTATGAGGGGAACCGGCTCCTCTACCGTGCTGTTAAGCACGGCACCTTGCCGTGCCTCCTTGTGGCGCTAGTGGACGCACGCATATGGGCCTTGCCAAAAACCAATGTAGCTACCCAGACTATCCGTTCGATGCATCACACACCTGAATAGATTAACGAATTAGTAATTATAATTAATACAGTACATGACTAACTAAAGTGAACTTGTTTCAAAAAAATAGTTTTACAAAATCTCAGTCTTTTTTTATGTGGAGCGGAATATGTCATTTTCCTATTTTTCTATTTATTATTTTAATCCATTCAATTGTACTTTTAATTTTGTTTTTGTGTGCTTTTGTTTTTACCACATCCGCCGACCACACATAATTTTAGCTGCCTTACAATGGATCGTGCGCAACTGCAGTCGCATGCATGTGCACCGGCGATCTACCCCTCGAGTTCATGAGGGTGGGAGATTTGTTGAGAGAGCGAGCGAATGAGGCGATGAGGGCGAGCGCTCAGGCGATCCAGAGACCGGGGATATTCCTCCTGTTAAAAAAAAAACATGCACTGGCGTGCATGTACAATTGCATGTCCATTTGTCGCCGATGTCTCTGTGCTCAGGCGTCATCATTAGGGAGAGAACAAGTATCGCGCCTTGGTCGGCTGCGTAGCCGCCTCTCTCACGACTCTGACAAATATATTCATGTATTAAAAACATAAAACTAAAAAAAGAAGAATGAAATAAAAGTGTGTTATTTAAAATCATATATTTTTAATACATGGATATATTTGCTTTTTTTCGGGTAATATATTTGTTGAAACTTGTGAGCGAGGCGGCTACACAACCGAGCAGGAAACTCTAGCCGCAACCCGGTGGCGACCAAAGGGATACAACACGACGATCTTTAACTATAGTTAAATGCGATTGATGGACATGCAATTGTAGTTGCACCCCCATGCACTGACATGCGACTGCAGTTTTGTTTGGGCGACGAATGTGGTAAAGATAAAACAGACACACATAAAAATAAATGTACCAATCAAACTGGTCAAAATAATAAATAGAAAGGACATATTCCGCTTTGCGCAAAATAAGACTGAGATTAGCAAAACAAATTTTCTGAAAATGAGTTCATTTTTGTTTCACAGTATTATCTGAAAGAACACAAAAACAAAAATAAAGGTACCAATCGGACCGATTAAAATAATAAATAGAAAATAGGAAAATGACATATTCCGCTCCAAGTAAAATAAGATCGAGATTTAGTAAAAATGTTTTTTGGAAATGAGTTTGTTTTCGTTAGACATGTATTGTATTAATTATAGTTAATTCATTATTCTTTTTTTGAGGCAATTAATCTGTTTTTTTAGTAGAACGGTGTGATGGATAGAACGGCTGGGCTGGGTTACTTTTGTTTTTGACAAGGCCCATATGCATGCGACCGCTAGCGCCACGAGGAGGCACTGCAGGGTGCCGTGCTTAACAGCACGGTAGAGGAGCCGGTTCCCTTATGAGGTACTACTAGACCTTAAAGACGCGCGTTGCCGCGCCCGTCCATGGTAATAAGAAAATATACTAATACTTTGGATTAATTAAGGTTGTTTAAATATTTGAGATATTTTTCTTTACATTGTAAGAATGAATACATGTATACGCACAATGTTAAATTTAAACGATCCAATGGGGAGCATGGTATGCCATAGTATGCGTGTGCACATGCCAACTGCAAAGTAGTGTGGCAAGATGATGGAAAATTTTAGAAAGGCTTGATGTTTGTAGAGACAATTACGAATAAAAAAGGTTTAGTATATTGGCATTAAAAATATCAACATGCTTAATGGAAAGGGGGTGTCAATCACATTATTAATAAAAAAGAACATGGAAATACTATTAAAACTAATAATGATTGTGTTCCTTTAATTTATATTAAGAGATTACATTTGGTATAAATTTGTGTGCACTCTAAATGTGTTCATTCCAGTAAGTCCGTAACCATTACTAAACAACCTATATTTTGTTCTTATACATTTATTTAGGATTTAACTCTTGAAATTCGATTCGCAAAAAAAAAACTCTTGAAATATTTAGTCTAACATCTAAGGATATGATCCTTATCATATCCCACTGATATTTTTGGGGAGGGAATAGTTACAAGATGATGCCAAATCGTTGGGTGGTGCTGGAAATATAGAAGCTACAACAGAATAATAGTTGAGTACTTGAACTATCACACATATGTTAGCAAGAAATAAGAAGCAAAGAAACTTATTTGCAGAACTTGGCTAGCTTGCCAAACTTAGAATACATTTCTGAACAATTGATATCAATAATCTTAAGTAGGTAGTATTCTATGGCTACATCGAAATATGCTGAAGTTATAATTTAGACAATATTTTAGAACATGCCTGATGAGCACCAATCTTGGGCGGTCACGGACCAATTACATGGGAAAGGCAGATGAATAAATCACCATACAGAAAGATGGCAAGAGCCTTCCTGCATGATATAATCACAAGATTAGAAGAGTTAAAGGATTTCCTTAATCAGAGAGAATTTGCACAGAAAATTTCTTGTCTCGTCCAACCTACCTGTTGTAGAGGACCAGGGGCTTAGTGCCACACTCCCGTCCTGGGTCAGCGTGGACGTGGTGAGGGCGTTGCACAGTCGCGTACCAACAGCAGCATTCCGAGCATCACCGGCGACCAATAAGTTCGAAGAGAAGAGGCCCCATAAGGAGTGGCCGCTTGCCGTTGTGATCCCTAGACAGAGGAGGTAGGGTGTCACCGCCGACGCGACGGACGAGTCCTAGGTCGCCGCTAGTCGTAAGGCATGATCCCCTCACAGCCACGAGGCAGATCCTCCACCAGCCG